TACAACGTTTCGACAAGGTTTTGTCATCATCAGGTACCTGATCAGCTTATATTAAAGTTTTTCTTCATTACCCATTTAAGCCGTCTCCAGCCATTATAAAGCCCGTGGATATTAGGTCAGCATCTGTACAAGGCCAGCTTAAGTGGTCATTGAACCACCAGACAAACATTTAGCAACAAATACCACAGCTATGTTTACAAAAGATCAGTAGCGGACTTTCTGATTCAAATTGTAAAAGTTCTGAAATAGAAATTATAATAATCTAAACTATAGGAATGTATAGTTGTAATATTAATACACTACAAATTTACTTACAGGGTGGACGGTTACACGGGTAAAATAGAGGTTCTGGTGTGATGACATAAAATAAATGGCCACTTGCCATAATAGAAGGTTGTGATGGTTTACTTACTGCATTAGAGGGCTGTAGTGGCTCTGTTGCCTGAATAGAGGGTTATCGTAACTCTACTACTTGATATAGGGTTGTGGAAGCTGTAAAAGAATGTGTACTCTCTTACCTGAATAGTGTCGTGTTGAATTTTTTTTTTTTTTAGATGGAAGGGTTTTGATAACTTGAATAAAGGGTTGTGGTAGTTTACAATGAGAACCAATGACAGATCAGTCTGTTATATTTATTTTGATTACTGTTACGTTCGACCCAGGATGTGACACTCTGGGAAAGAGAGCTCTTGTACGCTAGAGAAATTGCCTCCATGAAAAAACATATCCAGATGTTTAAATATAATTTGTAGTTACAGAATAATCTATTCATTGATAAAGATAACTCTTACAATGTACAGTTTTAAGCATACAATTATATTTCTTTGCGATCCAAGCAGAGGGTACATTTGAAATTAATAAGCTAGCGTGAATTATATCGCACAGATAGTAATACTGAAACTTGCAGAAATAAGAATGAATTCGTGGTACGTTAACCATTATTAATGAACTTATTGTATAAACACATTGAGAAATATGGAAGTCCAAGTCCGGTAAACATGGCCGGAAGTCTTGAATTCCACGAGGAATTGTTTCTTTCTTCCGCTGTGCACTTCCCTACTTCGTTCTCATTGCGAAACAACGGATCAACTTCATGCATGGTGGCCGTAATTTTAGAACCCATGCGTGATCGAGTTCGTTCCGAACGGACCCTTCGTAAAAGAAACACAATATTAATGATATTCTTTGAAAATGGAAGCAAACACAGTCACAGCTAGATAAACCAAACTTTGTCATGTCCCCCCCCCCTCCCCACACACATACACTTAAGCGGTACTTTGAAGCGAATCATAAACGTCTGTCCCTCGTCAGCCAACCCTTCATTCGTACTGTAGCTATTGAAAGCCTTTATTATTAATTACACGTCGGACGTGGACAATGGGTTTATTCATAATTTATGGTGAAAGATGAAAGGAATACAGGCTGGACAGAAGCTAACCTTACTGGATATGGATTCTCTTTATATATTGATTCTTGGGACATAAAAATGTTTTATTTAGGAACGAAGAAGAAGGCACTATTTAACTTGTCAGTTCCGCTGTTTAACTATGATAGTGTAAGACAACGAATCGCCGCAGGGCACTAGACCTGTTTGTAAACGGTTTCATTCAAGTTGCGTGAAACATAAAAAATCATCTTGGATATGTGTTATTTGTGTTAGTGTATCCTGCTGCTTTAACAATTACAGTACGTGTTACAGTCTTGGTTGGCTTTCAGATTACCTTTTCTTGTGGTTAAGTTATGGTCTCTGGTTTCTGAGTTGTTCTGTAACCAGATTAATATAGAAACAATAAACCAAGAGACACGTGGTATATACGGGCGTGTATAGAAATATAGGACATAATAACTTTTACCGAAAATTTAGCAAGAATTTGTTGTTTTTTTTATAAGAGCAAGGCCACACTGGGCTGTCTGTCGTTTCCACCGCAGGGAATCTAACCCCAGATTTTAGCGTTGTGAATATTACCGTTAACTCACCGAGGGACATTTAGCACGAAAAAATAAGTTGTTGTGATCCATTATATGAAACTTGTCTAACTCGTGTGTCATCACATCTGGACATAACAAGCAGCACCCGGTGGCCAAAATTGGTTTTTGATACTCGCGGTAGGCACAGTATATATGGCTCATTTCGTAGCTCGGAGTGTATGAAAAATAAATAAAAATGTAGTCAGTAGTTGATTGGATTTAATAACTACACAACGTAACACTCGGTTGAGCACTTAAACACTAAAACATTAATTATTTTTAAACTTTTTATTTTCGATTCTTAGGTTACAGCACAAAGCCGGTAACATTAAAAGCGTTCATTATTTCTAAACACACTTTAAATGGGTAATGTACCATAGGTGTATTAAATCAAAGCTGTGTATTTCAAACATTCGTCTTTCAGACTTGTATCGCTTTGCCTGTTTTCCGGTGGGGCAGCGCTAAGTTTACGGGCTTACAACGCTAAAATCCGGGGTTTCGTTCCCTGCGGTTGATCGAGTTCAGATGTTTCGTTGTGCAGCTTTGTACTAAGACAACGACAACACCGCTTAGCTTTACTAAGCGCGTGAGGGCGTGAATTTATTATTTATATAGGTCTCAGCACTTTACTTCTGTAACTACTTTTTAGGTTTAATAGTAGCAGGTATTTAGGTTCAAAAACCTGGAATTCTCAGAAATTAGTGGCAGGTATTTAGATTCAAAAACCTGGAATGCTGAGAAATTAACAAATTTCTCTTTGCCCCGCTCGTGGCGAAGACGGTGTAACTGGAAGTCTTCATGGAAAACAACAACAAAAAACCCTCTCTCTTTGCTCTTTATGTAGGATGTGAATATTATATTTTACAAAAATTAAACAAATTAGGCATTTTATTTTGTATTTAGAATATACGATACAAACGCGTTAAATATTTGTTCTGTTAAACTTTGCTTATCTTGTGTATACAAGTGCGAGAATATACACAATTTTAAAAAGTATTGACTTTTGTTTTTTAGAACTGTCTTGACTATCTTAATTTACTAATCTAGGTAACTGATTAAAACAGTCCTGATGGTTAGTACAATATTTTCTGTTCTTTGATTTAGTAAAATCTTGCAAACACAAATTCTTGTATAGTGTTTGCAGGAAAATGAATTATGGTCGAATATCAAGGTTGTACAAATATTTTCATGGCAGTTACCTTAAGTTGGGAGATTTGGAGTGACGTATGAAGTAAATATGCCATATTTTCATGGCAGTTACCTTACGTTGGGAGATTTGGAGTGATGTATGAAGTAAATATGCCATATTTTCATGGCAGTTACCTTACGTTGGGAGATTTGGAGTGATGTATGAAGTAAATATGCCATATTTTCATGGCAGTTACCTTACGTTGGGAGATTTGGAGTGATGTATGAAGTAAATATGCCATATTTTCATGGCAGTTACCTTAAGTTGGGAGATTTTGAGTAATGTATGAAGTAAATATGGCATATTTTCATGGCAGTTACCTTAAGTTGGGAGATTTGGAGTGACGTATGAAGTAAATATGCCATGTGTAGGCGACGTCCAATCAATTTCCCAGGCCATTATAATTATCAAACCCAACTGGTCCTTGAAATGCAAGGGTAAGGGGCATCTACACCAAACGAGAGTGACGTCACTTTGATAGGCACTCGCAGGACGGTTTTGTCAATGAATTGGTTTCATGTACGTATGTATACCTCTGAAGTAGAAATTAACCGTGTGATGCGCTTTGCCGTGAGTTAATCCCCTGATGGCTCAGTAGTTAGCTTGTGCGCTTATGGCAATCTAATTCGGTGCTCGATCCCCGTTGTGAACACGGCGCAGATAGCCCATTAAACAACTTTGTGCTTAAACAAACAAACAATACAATTTGGGCCGGGCGTGTCTTAGCTGTAAATCTGAGGGTTGATGGTTCGCGTTCCGTTGCTGCAAGAAGTGCTCCGCACTTACGGGTTTTGGAAGCACTATAAAACTAACAACGGTCAAAATTCCACTATTTGGTGAAACAAGAGTAGCCCAAGAATTGGCGGTGAGTGTTGTCGAGTAACTGGCTTCCCTCTGATCTGTAATTTCAAAATTATAGACCGCTGTGCTCACATAGCTATTATGTAGCTTTGCGCGAGAAGTCTAACAAAAACAAACAAACGCAAAAAACAACAACATAATTTTACATAACATTGGGTCCACCTATATATGTTTATTGGTGCCAAACATGACTTCGCTTGACTAATGCATGTTTCGTAAAGATAATCAGTAT